GAGATAGATTGCTCAAGTCGGAAGTATATCTGTAGCACTTGAAGTATATCTGTTATTAGCAACGCTCCTGGCTCATCACTTTCCCTTTTTCTCAGTAACCCATGGTCACCAAAGAAACTGGTAACAGATGATGCAAGCCCAATGTGAGCACCCATCACCTTACTAATAGCATCCAATGTTCCACCTGATCTTTCCCTTAACATTATTTCAAGAGCTTTCTTGTGTACTGGATCGAAAGCATCAGAGACTTTCAATAGATTTTGTATTGCTGGTAAGAGGAAATTCCTAACACTGGAAGAATGAAGGTCTGCAGAAAGAGACAAAATCAATAAGCACCAACATCATCCAATCACCTAAAAGTGTGCGCGCACACAGTAATAAAAGATTTCAAAAAGCAAACTTGTTGCATCAAGAGCACGTATTGATTCACAAAAAACATTAACTTTGTCTCTTCGACGTACTATATCATTTGATAGGATTGGCGAGGCAGCGAACTGAAAAATCTTGAACAAGAGATGTACACACAGTTAAAGAAACAAATATTTCACTAGTGGGCAACATGAACAAAAGAAATGTATTCCTAATTGTTGAAATAAAAACCCAAATTAAAACAAATTAAAACCACCCAAAAAAAGTTTCAAAGATATTTTCTTGGAGCCTATCTATTGTATGTAGTACAGCAAACGTCGGTGCAAGAACCATGTTAAAACCAAGGAAGGAAATAAAATGGAAGCTGCTGTAACCAGCAGAAACAAGGAAAGAAAATAGTAGAAAATGAACTAAAATTAAAAGATAGAGCCTGTTGTAAATGGTCGGGAAGAAGAAGAATATTTCATTCATTCAACTTAAGAAATTACAGTGCATACTAGTCTATTTATAGACTAAAATCTAACAATTTATCTAACAAACTAACAGCTGAAAGAAGGATCTAACAATCATGCTGGAAACCTGTTGAATTAGGCTGGGAACGTGAGCGCTGAACTGGAGCCAATCATGCACATATTCTAACATTCTCCCCTCAAGATGGAACATCTTAAACTTGGAGAGAAGAGTAGAGATGCAAGAGAAGGCGTTGGAAAAGAAGTCTGGGGTCGACAATTGAATGTCCAGTAGAGAAACATTCCAGATAGAGAAGAAGCAGATCAGAATTTGATCGAAAAACAGCAACAAAACTTCACCGAAATAAGTAATCATCCATAGCTCTGAAACCGGGAATTTGCTAAAGAAAAACTTCATCAACATTGATGAGTAAAATGAAAAGTCGAAATGCTAAACAATACTCCAGCCAGGACAGCAAATAAAACCACCAGTACAACTCCATACATGTGCAAACATTTTAACAAACACATGGTAGACGAGAATGAAGAACTTCGGAACTCCATGGTTAGTTGTGGATACTGAATATGAAGAACCAGTAGTAACACAACAAGAATAAACCAAGAACAAACAAACTAGCAGAGTGGAACGGACTGGAATTGTAGATTTGTGCAGATGATGAATCATCGTCTGCAACAGAGTCAATTCGAAATCCTTGGCTGAAGAACAGAGACTGCAGCTGCAGATAGATGTTGCTCTGATACCATGATAAAACCAAGGAAGGAAATAAAATGGAAGCTGATGTAACCAGCAGAAATAAGGAAAGAAAACAGCAGAAAACGAACTGAAATTAAAGGATAGAACCTGCTGTAAATGG